CTGAAATACCTGTTGAATGTTGCTGAAGAACTTTTGTGGCTTGCAAAATCACACTTAGCTTCTTAACTCACGCCTCCTCAAATGCAACGCTTACTTTTACAAAACATCTGCTCTGCTTGTTCCGTTTTGGGGTGCAACCCACAGCAGTACCACACTTTGGACAGTGTAAAGAAACAATGGAAACCATGTCAAAATCCTGACTGCAATTGAAATGGAATCCTCACTTGATTCACGTGGCAGCAGTATCAGTCGCAGTGCATCCTCAGCTACTAGAATACTCTGGTTTTGGAGTTGGCATGGGGGGTGGGGAGTGGGAGTTGGGGGAAAAGGGGCGAATACATTTCACGAGGAGAGGGTTTTAACTGAAGCAGTGACACCACCTGAATGAAAGCCTTGCTTGGAGCAGTTAGGAGCGGAAGAACAGTGGGGCTTTTTCTAACCCATGTGGAACCCCAGAACAGTAACACCCCAGGCTTCCACTTTCCTGTGTGGGCAGAATTGGAATCAATGCTCCCTTTTCATTTCCCCATGCTGTGAGCACCTATACAAAAGGAGCCCAGAGTTTTATAAGCTGAATGCTCTGCACTCGGTCCTGCACAATGGAAACAGTTAATCAGAACTGCTGTGTGAATGCGCTGGTTTTCATTGATTCAGAATAGCTTCAGTGTTTTAATAAATCTAGCTGACTTCATTTCCCCAATCCTGAATTACTCTAAAAAGGGTGTGTTATATAATGTTTGAAAGAAGTACTAACACTAGTCTGACATTGGTGCCCCCCAAAACACCATTTTTTTCTTGACTATAAAAGTAACACATACTCTTGATGGAAAATACACAAATTTGCAAAAGAAATAATCATTATGAACAGTTTGGTCTCTTTCCTACCAGGCTTTTTTCTGTGTACATAAGAGTAAAATCCTGGGTTTTTTCTCTTAATGTAATGTTCTATTATCTTTTGTTATTAAAATAACTTTTATTGTTTCTTCTTTTTACTGAAGCATTACATTTTCATTGGAGAAAATGCTGAAAAGGAAAAAAAAAATTAAATCATTTGCAGTTACCATCCAGAGGCAGTATTAATAGTCTGTTGTCTTTTCAGTTTCTTTCCTAGACATATAATCTGGAAAAATGAATTATTTCAGGCACCATGACACTTCTTCTTTTGGACGCAGCATGGCTTACGTAAGTATCTCCTTAGGTTGGGCCTCAAGGTTGCTTTCCATTAATCGTGCTATGATAAATATCCTTTACAATGGTATTTCACACTGTGTTTTTTTCCTTTGAAAATTATGAATTTTCTATAATTAATTTCATCCATTCAACTCTTGAGAGGAAGTTGAAAGAAGGGAGCAAGGAGAAACGTAATCCATAACTCTTGCTCAAGAGTTCATCTCCATTTCAAATATCTTTGTTCTCCCAACAGAAGAGAGCTCTTGAATAGAGGGATGGGATGATGACTCCATTCTACAATGCCTAGATATGTATTTAAAAATACAATTTAAATAAAATTAATAAAGGAGCAATTGACTCTTCAAAATTTTTGGAAGATGAAATCGAAGGCCAAATGTGCCATGAGTCTGAGCAACAATTTAAAATCTCTCAGTTCCAAATATGCATCAGCACGGCAGAACAGTCACCATTGCTAAAAAACGGGCTGGAAGAAATGGACAAATGAGGGCCACTTCTGAAGCAACACCAGAGAAAGATAAAAGAAAGTACTGCTGGGTCAGGGATGAGGGCGTAGACATCACCATACATTACAGAAAACGACGACCCTCAGACTACATCTTCAGAAGCATGCCAGAAATACTCCCGTTCCGGTTGGAGAGCTGGTAGAACCTGGAAGGGCAGGAAGGATGTGGTCCAGACACTTGTGCTATGATTGTTTCTAAGAGATCCCTCTCCCTGCTCAGAGTTCAGGCCTGGAGCCTGGTGCGTGCCTTTCATTTTTCTGTAACCCAAGTACAAATGACTAATCAAAAGGGAAACCAGATGTAGAAAAAAAAAATCAGCTGGCTGCTCCTCTGGGGCCTATCTTTATAGAAAAGTATTGTCAGTGGGTCCTAGAGACTTTGTCATTTCTTTGGAAAATACCCTTGTGTATTATTTTATTTTTTTTTTGAGGAAGATTAGCCCTGAGCTAACATCTGCTGCCAACCCTCCTCTTTTGTTGAGGAAGACTGGCCCTGAGCTCACATCCATGCCCATCTTCTTCTACTTTATATGTGGGATGCCTGCCACAGCATGGCTTGCCAAGCGGTGCCATGTCCACACCAGGGATCTGAACTGGCGGACCCCAGGCCACCAAAGCAGAACATGCGCACTTAACCGCTGTGCCACCGGGCTGGCCCCACCTTTGTATATTATTGTGATTTACAAAGCACCTTCACCACCACCATCTCATTTGGTTCACAACCTCGTATGGCAGAAAGGGTAGGTGTTATCCCGTTTTATAGATGAAAAAATGTTGGCTCAGAAACTAAATGGTTTGCCCAAAGTTACATAGCTAGCAAGTGACAGAATAAGACTGCAAGCCTAGGGCTTCTCCTAATCTAATGATCATCCCAGGAGGCCACATCATGTTCACCTGGACAGGCTTTAGAGGAGAAGGACATTTCCAGTATCCTTTAAGAGCTGAATGGAGCTCCTCCAGTCTGGGCCCCGGCAAGCACCAGAGCATAGGGACTGTTAAAGGAAACATGATTTGCAAGCACCCATCTCAGATATCGGGGCACGCTGTAACAAAATGGTTCAGTTATCAGGGATGAGGTGAGGAGACAATGTACATCTGAGTTTACATATTAATTGCATTTAATCTTCTCAACAATTTCAAAAATGAGGAAACAAGCTCAAGGGTTAAGTGACTTCCTGGGCAAAGGGAACTTGCCGAGTTCCCTCATAGAGAGTTGCTCCCTCATTTCAACAATAGCAATGTAGCTGAGTGATGACAGAGTACCAGTACTTGGCCTTTAGGAGCTTGCAATCAATCTTTCTGGGAGGTCTTTAATCTCTAATTTGGCTAGGAAATGAGCTCCTGTCTTCTTCATAGGCTTCATGCTGATGCCATGAGGGCCTCATTAAGAGTAAGTCCCAGGAGGTTTGGAGAGAACCTTCTAGGTTCAGACTTGAGTTGCTGCCTTTTTAGGGCCTTTCACCTCCCTAGAAGGCTTACTGAACAGGATGTTCCCTGCTAGGGGACAATGAAAACCTCCCTGGCACAGCACCAGGTGCACCAGTGCTCATAGCCCTGTGTTTCCCACTGTTATTAGCGCAGTCAACACACTAATCTTCCTTACTCCTGTCTGAAGGAATTGGCTCCCACCAATCAGCAAGCGAGCCTATGTGCAAAAGTAACGTAATTCAGTTTACTTCCCAATGTCTAATGTACATCACTCAGAGTGAATAAGAAGTACAAAAATGCATCAGTATAAAGGGACAGAATAAGCCAGAACTCAGGGACTTGGATCAGCCAGGGTCATGACCTCGGCCTTTGACTATGCCATTAAACGGGAATGTGCCAAACCATGATGGTGAAAGAGAAGCGCTCCCAGAGCTGCCCTCCAATACTGCTGCAAGCACGCCCCAGCCAGGGTCTGCTGTGCTGAACCCATGCAGGCTCCCCATCAGCTGAGGCCACACGCTGAACTCAAGACAGGCAAAGGCAACACTCAAGGGAAGCGCCACCACATTAGGGACATCATGAGGCTCAGCTTCAAAAACACGGTGGTCTGCTGGGAAGGGTTCACACCGACCCCCAGCAATAATGAGCTGCAGAGCTTGACGTGAAGAATCCAGGTACACAGCTGCAGGGTGCCAAGACTGTGGCATCCTTTTACATACCCAGAGTAACCACCAGCATTGCTTTCTTAGATGGCAAATATTGATTAAGGGTCAAACAAGTTACTCTGATGGGAGACAGCTTGGTCATCCATAATGGCAGAATTCTTCGTTCCAATCCAAGCCCCAGGGCTGGCTTCTGGCCAGGGCAACTCTGAGAGGCGGGGTGGCAAGTGAGAAGTGCCCTAGAGTAGAAATTAGAAAACAGGGACCCTACTCCCCAGGCTGCCCCTGCGCAGCTACATTAAACTGGGCAAGTAATTCTCCGTCTGATTCCTTATCTATAAAACGATGCGTATATCACTATGGTCCCTTCAACTTCAGATCTTCAGGTTTATGGATTCCATGAAATTAGCTAAAGAGGCCCTTTTGCTGGAAATGTAGCGTGGAGTTGCCTAACTCTCAGGAAAACCTTAAGTTCAAAATGAAAGTAAAGAATGGAAAGAAAGAAATGAAAGCACGAGAGTCTCTTCAACTCGAAACTCTCTGGTCATAAGAATAGCAAAGCAATGAGTTCAGATAGTTTGGGAGGAATAAAAATGCAAACTGCAAAACAGGAAATCCACTCTTGGCTGGCTGTCAAAAAGCCATGGGCTGGTGAAAATTTTAGATCCATTTTAGTTCTTAATTTCTTAAAACCAGTAAAGTGCCCAAATTAGTAAATTCTTGAGATGCCTGCTACCAAAACATGGCACTACTGTCCCCGTCCCAGCCTTTTTAATCACTCTCGATTTCTTCAGTCCTATTTCTGAGGGTGTGATGGTACAAGGCACTGCTGGCCCCACCTCGTCCCGTGGCTGGGACTGACCCTCTCCCTTCACCGTCATAACCACTGTTTTACGAACAATGGTCAAATGTGGTCTTGTACTGTAGCTCTGCGTACACTGGCCTCACCTCTCCAAATAGCACATCAGCTCTGAAGCTGCAGGGACCCCGCTTTCCAGATCTTTGACTCCTCCAGCGCCTTGGCTACAGCAAGCACTCAAACGTTGATGAATGATTCAGAAAAGGACTTGCCAGTCTCTTCAGATATCTCAAACCACACAGCCAGGTTTATACATCTAACCCGTTTGTACTACAAGATCATTTTTTTAAAAAGGCATTATTATCTAGAGATAGAAAAAGCTTATAAAAATGAGCTTAACAAAAACACTGAAACCAGATTTCCATAGAAAGCAGAAAAATAATTTTATTCAAAAAGATGGCAGAAATAAGAAATTCATCCTGAAAATATACTTTGGTGTAATTCTGCGGGGACTGATCTCCCCTCTGAACATGCCCTCCTACTGACCGCCCCATGGAGTCCTGCTGTCTTGTAAGTTTTTAAACACTTTGCTGATTCCCACATCGTGAGCAGGCAGGAGGCATCTTCAAATCCACAGGTTCCAAGGAGAGACTACCGTATTTCTCAGAAGAACAGCACCTTCTATCTCAGAAGAGTGCATAATAAACATTTTACGGATTCAGCACAGTTTGGGTTAAGTAGGCACATAATTCATCAAAGTGTAAAAAAGGCGACAGGAAAAAGACTGCATGGTAGGATAAAATATTCAAATGCGGCGTGATGTAAGTAAGGCAGCTGATGGTCAAAACAGGCGAGTCAAGGGAGGTGGTCTGGGTTTGGAGGGGATTTTGCATCTAGAGGAATTCTCTTCATGACCTGCAAAACAAAGCCATTCTAGTAACTGGTCCTTACAACTTCCTCAGGAGGGCAAAAGGTTAACATCAAGAAAATCAATCAGGCCAACAATTTAAAATATATAGGTGTTCAATAAACACTTGGATGAAAAGTCGCTCAATTAATGTGCAAGTGTGGGTGGGTTTTGCAGGGCTGTGACAAAACATTACCAACGACATTGCTGAACTGGGGATCACAAGTCACGGTTTGACTGTGTCCTAGGAAGCAAGAAGAACGGAGCTGACTAAGTCTGATCACACTGCAGTCTCAGGAGTTCACTTGGGTTTCAGGAATCTGTATGTTCCTCCGCCTCTTACAGCAGGGACGCAAGGTTCCCACAGGCATGGCACGCTTTTCTCTACGTCAGACTCCTAAAGAGCAGGCTCCTTGGTACTCAGGGTTGCTCCTGGTTTGCTCCCCGTTCTTGCCACAAGTGTAGGTGACAAACTTCTAGAAGCTTAAAGGTGCGACATCACTTTTACAGAGCTAACAAACATTTAAAACAGGCATCTTCACACATCAAACTAACAGTGGTCGCATAAACTCATTTATATAAGGCTTATTTTATAAGGTTTATATAAATAAAGCCATATATGCTACTTTTGAAATTAAAAAACCAATAAAGAGAAAATATAAATTAATAAATAGTGTCTTTCAGAGGCAATTTCCACACAAGGTTTGAGTTGGTTGTGCATATAAGAAAACAAGCTGGTTATGACACATAATTTGCCAGAATGTTGAAGTTAAGAGCAGGTAGGGTGAAGGGCTAGTTAAGTTGGATGCAACGTGGTTTGTGGCAGGCAGATCTGAGAAGAGAGAGCGGATGGGCCTTGAGGTTTCCCAAATCAAGGGATACACCAGCAGAATCCAGAGGGCAGTGTGATAAAATGATAGGTTTCCCAAGGCCCAGGGCCCAAGGTCCAGAAGTAGGTGGGAGATGCTGCTACTCAGCCTTACGGTGCAAGCTGGGGTAGTCCAGCTGCCCTTGATGGTGGAAAGCACCAGACTGCTGGGGACGCTAAGGCAGGACACTGCAAACAAAATACATCCAGCTCAAGATGTAATCAGAGGACCGTTTTTACAATGCACTAGGAAAATAACCACACTGGGCCAGGGAGGTGCAGTTACCAGAGCTACTGGTTTCTTGTGGCCTCACAGCCTCATAAAACCTTTCCTCTCATCTAATGATCATTTTCTCTTCTTCTCCTTAGGCCAGCAGAACAGTGCCTCTGCACAGACAGTTCCCGGCAGATTATAAATTTCACTTGAGAATAGTGAAGTAGTGGACACAGACGTTTTGTGTGTTAATTTTCTTTGAACAGCATACTAGTTAGACCTCCTGATTGTTTAGGCCTTTTGGACAAATGAACAATCACAAAAAAGAAAAAACAGGTCTTCACTTTTGAAAACCACACTGAAACAGAGGGTAATTTTCACTCAAGCTCAGTGATCCCAGTTTAAGAAAAATGTGAGTGACTTACGTTAAATGGCACAGACGTGGTTAGATTTGGAAGTGAATTAAAGAGCACATGTTCTAATCATCTCTCTGACATGCAATAGCCATTTGGGGGTGTGGGTGAGGAACTCAACCAAAGGGTTCATGTTCTCATTTTTGTAAAATAAAGGAATCACTAAGACTACTTTCAGATAAAACTGCGAATGAGGACAACATAAAAATATTAAGGCCAGAACCAGGAAATCTGTTCAGGGAAGGAAGACTGAGTATATTTCTTAATCAAAGATATGTTTCATTTTTATCTTTATTTTTTCAGTTCAGATATTCATAAAACAATGCCTTCTTACTATTATGTGTAAGGTATGCATTTATCATAGATTATAAGAGGTATTTAAGCAAACTAAAGGTATGTCTATTTAACAACTCAAGGCAGTGTGCCAAATGAATGGCAAACACTGGAGAGTGACATACCTTGAGGGCCAGAAGAAATCACTGAGAAACCAAGTGGCCGGAAAAGGAAGGGCAAGGATGTGCAAGCTGGACGCTCAAAGAGAAAACATCAGAAAGAATTAAGAGAGAATGGGTAAGCAGGGGCAAGAAAGCAGAAAGAATGTTCACAGAATAACCTGCTTTCTAAATTAATGACTGTAGAGGGATGTGAGAGGCAGGAAAAGCTAAGTGAAGCTAATTAGGTCAAGAACGTGAAAATATACATCAAACTAGAAAGTTTCTGCACAGCAAAGGAAACCATCAACAAAACGAAAAGAGAACCTAACAACTGGGAGAAGATATTGGCAAACCATATAGCTGATAAGGGGTTAATATCCAAAATATATAAAGAACTCAAACATCTCAACAACAAAAAAACTAACAACCCAATGAAAAAAATGGGTAAAAGATCTGGACAGACAGTTCTCCAAAGATACACAGATGGCCAACAGGCACATGAAAAGATGTTCAACATCATTAACTATGAGGGAAATGCAAATCAAAACTACAGTGAGATAGCACCTCACTCTCGTCAGAATGGCTACAATTAACAAGACAGGAAATAATAAGTGCTGGACAGGATGTGGAGAGAAGGGAACCCTCATACACTGTTGGTGGGAGTGCAAACAGGTACAGCCATGATGGAAAACAGCATGGAGATTCCTCAAAAAATTAAGAATAGAACTACCATACGATCCAGCTATTCCACTGTTGGGTATTTATCCAAAGAACATGAAAACACGAACATGTAGATACACGCACTCCTATGTTCACTGCATTACTCACAACAGCCAAGACTTGGAAGCAACCTAGGTGCCCATGAAAGGATGAAGGGATAAAGAAGATGTGGCTTATATACACAATGGAATACTACTCAGCCATAAGAAACGCTGAAATCTAGCCATTTGTGACAACATGGACGGACATTGAGGGGATTATGCTGAGTGAAATAAGTCAGAGGGAAAAAGTCAAATACCATATGATCTCACTCATGAATAGAAGATTAAAAACAACAATAATCAATCACATAGAGACAGAGACTGGATTGGTGGTTACTAGAACAGAAGGGGGGAGGGAGGAGGGCGAAAGGGGTGATTAGGCACATGTGTGGTGATGGATTATAACTAATCTCTGGGTGGTGAACATAATACAATCTACACAGAAATCGAAATATAATCATGTTCACCTGAAATTTATATAACGTTTCTAACATTATATATTGGTTTCTAACCAATGTTACCACAATTAAAAAAAAAAAAGAACACGAAAATAGTAGGGCTGGAATCAAGAGGTCATGGAGGAAAGCAGTGGAAGGAAAGGCTGCGAAGGGGTCTGAGTGAGGGCAGACTGGGAAGGCCCGTCCAGAAAGCCGCCAAGCTAGAGAGCCGGACACAGCCTCACATTAGTCATTCTTATCTTTGGTGGCTCATGGGACCTTTCATGACTCTGACAAAAGCTATGCTTACAACACGTTACACGGCATTTCAAGGGCATGTACCCAGTAAAATCTGGGACCTCAGGTTAAAAAACCCAAAACCCTGCTGTAGCCCGTGGAGAACTACTGAGCGTTTCTAGGGCAGGCAGGGATGTGCTTCGGGAAGTGCTCCGTCCAAGATAAACAGGGTGGTGTCTGTAGACTCACTGCCGGTAGAGATGGGGACTGACGAGGAGCCGCCAGAACTCAGCACCGCGGCTGAGGGTCAGGGTCAGGTGCCCAAGGAGGGACGGAAGGACGGACAGACACAGGAGACACAACCGGATCCACTGGACCGGAGCAAGAGGAGAAAGAAGTGATCGAGTAGGTGCAGGCCCTAAGTGACAGGGAAACTACGGCATCAGGAACCTCAGCGGAGACGTGACTGAATTTGGAGCGGCAGCAGAATATCTAGTCAGAGGTGCCAGAGTGAAAGATGGGCTTTCTAACCACCAAATGCCTTGCGCTGCTTAACTTTTCACAAGTATGGCTTAATTTCAACCTCTCAACAGATCACAACCCTTCGAGAGCCCACGGCCTCCCCTGGAATCCCCTCTCAGTACCATGAATGTCATGAGCACTCAATTATTTTTGGAATGCCTAGAAAAACAGCTCCCCCAGAGAGAGGCCCAATTACCAACACCCTCTATTCCTCTCCTGTCCAGATTTTGTAATAAAATAGCATTTCTGCCCTTTTAGGACTGCGGTAACCCTATTAGCTCACCTAACATATTACAATCGTGTGTTAAACCAACTAATTTACAGGACATGGGGTGTGAAGCCAAACCCACTCCAAGGAGATTCCATACAAGCATCACACCCCGAAGGCTGTAGGGAAATGGGACATAGACAAAAACAGCAACCTTGATGTGACAGTTCCGTAAACATCTTAGGAATCTGGGAGAGGCAGTGAAGGCTGGCAGGGGGCACAGATGGAGTGAGCAGTGTTCTTGGAGTCCTGGGCAAGATTTCTAGCCAATGAACACAACGTGCTATCACTCAGCCTATCAGCAATAACCATGGCTCAGCTCCTCAATACATAAAAACAGATCAGGGTTATTACAGAGGCTTCAAGTAGCACTCGATCGGCGGGGTGTTTAATGTGTTGAAAGACCAATTCAATTTCATCTGTATAAAATCATCCTACAGCTTTCACGACTGCTCCTCATTTTTCTCTGCTGAATACCATGTCTGGCTTACACCTCCTACTTTTCAAATCTGGCCTCTTAAAGAAATCACGCACAAAATCAAACGCCTTTTCTCACCAGGGGAAGACAGGCCTAAATCCGGTCTCCGCACTCTTCTGTCACCTCAGAGTTGTATAAAAGTACAAAGTTCAAAAGGGAATCTGGCTCAATCGTTTCATTTTACAACCAAGAAAAGTGAAGTCCTATCTCAAGAGTTCTGTTTGCTCCATTGCTAGGCAGAGACAGGATCTCTGATGGGACCCAGCATACGGTCCTGCTGCAGTCACCGCCTCAACTGAGGAATAAAAGTGACATGGTGTCCCTAATTAGGGTTTGCCTGGCTGTACCCTCCTACTTCCTGGCATTTTGCTTTTAAAGAAACAACCTTTAACAGAAGGGTTTCAAGCTGCCCCAGTGTGTGCTGTGGCAGAGTGCAAGCGATAGGAATCGGTCTGTCAGGCTGACAGACACGTGAGACTGAAAAGAATGGGCAAATGAAACCTTCAGACCCACACACGCAACGTTATTTAGGGCCAAAGGGCCCAGTTCTCGTATTACAAGGGAAGGAAACGAGGCTCAGAGAAGTGGAAGGAAATACTGGAAGGAGATCCAACTCTGAGGCCTGAAGTTCTCAGCTTTAAACCCCAACCAACATCCTTACTCAACACTCACTAGAGTTAAAAGGAAGGCTGGGAAACAAGAGAACTTGATGGAAAAAGAGGCAGGTAAAAAAAAAGTCTTATGAATCGGATTTAAAACTATCTACATAAAAAGGAAATTAAACCCCTTTGGGCAAAGACAGAACTCTAAGGAAAAAAAAGCTGACTACTGACCTATCAAGTTAGCAAATATCCAGGTTGTAAGGAAACAGGCACTCTCCTATATGGATGGTGGGAATGCAAAAATGGTACCATCCCTATGGAAGGGAATGCAGTAATATCTAGAAAAAGTATATATACGCCTTTAACCCAGAGATTCCATCTTCAAGGAATCTAACACAAAGATCACTGGAAAAAATATAAAATGTCATATGCAGAGGCTGGCACTATGGCTTTATTAACAACAACAAAAGACTGGAAACAATCCAAAAGCACATCAATGGCTGTAGAAAGAATTGAGGAGGGTCTCCATATGCTGATAGAAGCAATCTCTAGGATATATTGTTCAGTGACAAAAGCAACATACAGAATACTATATATAATAATGATATCTTTGTTGTAACAGCCGTGTGTGTGCAGGGAGAACGGAGATACACACATACACACACACACATATATATACGAATGTAGGTATGTATTTGCTTATCTTTGCAAAATGAAAACTGGAAGAATAGATTTCTCTGAATACATCCTGTTTATAATTTTGACTTTGGAAATATGTTTTACATATTTAAACAATAGTAGCAAATAAAAAAAATACTATGAATTGAACACAGAATAAAACAACTTAATCTATATATCAAATTGATAACCACTTAGAGGAAATAATCATTTCACGTGACCACAGAAAAAAGCATTTTGTTCTTCATTTGTTCTAAGGACAACTAAAGCAGCAAAGAAGTCCTAAACTGCCTTCAATAAACTTATAAATTGCATTGGTATTATTTTGAAACTATTTTATATGTACTGTAGGATAATGAAAGTAAGTAATTAAGTTATTATCTTTAGGAGCCAAGATTTTCAGCATATGTGAATGATATTCAAGTATAAAACCAAAAACGTTAAGTAAAAACCCTGAAATGATAAATGTGAATTAGAAATACTAACATAAACTCATGATTTATTTCTTCTTAGAAGTACATACTTCCTGGCACTGTCCAACAACCCAGCAGAAATGGACGCACCTAGCCACCAGATCTTGGTTTTTAAATACCGTTCTCACTGAAAAATCCAAGGCCCACTGGGCTCGAGCACTGACTAGCGGACTTGGGTCTTTTCAGAGGGCACTTTAGAAAGCAACTGCAGGAACAGCTGATTTCAAGTCTGGGACAGAAAAAAACACAAGATGGATCTGGGACATCTTGATACTGCCAGAAAGTAAGGAAAATAGCAAAAGACTATTAACAGAAGGACATAGAAGCCAGTCTAGACAGGTTCCCACAGGTCAAAGAAGGAACAATTGGATATAAAAAGGTGAATAAATTAATTGACTAAAATTAAAAAGGAAAGAAAAGAAAACCTCACTGGATACCCGGGAGGTAACTTGGGCACCAACAACTTACTCTGAAAATTAAAAGAAAAGAATTAAATATGTATTTTGCTTTTCCTATATGATCTACATTTCAAGGTTACTAAATAACCCTAGTTGATGAGGGAAAGTTCATCTTTATAGAAACATTTCATCTAATCAAATGCAGAAGTAATGACAGAACCAGAAAATCACCATTTTGCAATTGCTACTGAAACGCTTAATTCAGGCTAAGATCCTCAATGGATAAAATCACTGGATGAGGGTTGACAGAGAACTTTACAATTGGAGGGACCAGGCTGTCATTACCCGAGCCCATTGATCATCTTAGCATCACTCAAGACAAGAGAGTCAGACACTGCCTCCTGATGTGAGACAATATAAAGGTCACATGCCATCTAAGAAGTATGCTTGCCAGAAAGGATGAACCAGAATCTAGACAAGCATTTAGCACTAACTTCCATTTATTGAAAGAATGGAGGTAGAGGAACACACCAAATGACAGGTTTTCTGACTCTCAGCCAGTGAATAAATCTTTCCACTATACCATTCCTCCTCTCTCTGGTCCTCAGAACCAATAAAACCTGCAATTTTAAGGCCAATTTTCAAAAACCTCCTGTCTCTATCCAAAGCATTCAGGAATGCTTTTATACCTGTCAGCCAGTTCTTAAAGTTGCTGAATCTTGCAATATCAAGTATAGGTCATCCTGTTCCTGAGCTGTGTCTGAAAGACTGCATGCGAATTTAATTTATTTAGAGGGCAGGGTAATAGCAGAATTTAAAAAACTCTTACGGATAAATCCTTTGATAAAGAGAATGGCCTAAGTTCCAAATTTATTTCTGCTCTTCAGATCAAGTTTGCTTTCAGCAGCCTGCCCTTGCCAAGTGTTAAAGTAGCCATAAAATTCTGAGGAAAAGTCAAGGCTAACTCTAGCTGACTGACTGACACACTGATGAGAAAGGTCAAGGGTATCGTCACCTCAATGACTGAGCACTGGAGAGAGGGTCTTCTTCCTCAAGGCCAATGATGCTTGAGATACCAGATGGTTTCATTTTTCAACTGTGGTCCAAAGAGAGGGTTGAGTTGGGCCAGAATTGCAATCAGCCAACTAAAAGAATAACAGGGGAGAAACAACAACGAAAGTGGTGAAATCATGTTGCAACCAGACCATTTTCAATTAAGATGAAAAAAAGTGCTTTAGTAAAACAAATCTATTCTGTTCAGACCAAACCTTTAATACACTTAAAGTTCATCACACATTGTGCTGATGGGAGCGAGTCTTACAACAAAATGCTTCACAGAGCAGCACCCTGCCTTCATTTCGATACATCTTAACAGAGCGGTGAGGCTCATCAGAGGACATCCTGGTCTTTTCTCTCATTTTCTTAATCTAAAGTATCCCAGGTTTCCTGGATTCATACAGTCTTACCTCAGAGTGTTTTTACCTAATCTCAATTTATCATCATCACAACTTCCAGGCTCAGGGAAAACGGGTGTTAACATTATCCATTCTCCAGATGCTAAGACCCACAACAGACACGACACGTCCATTTTCACTAGTGCAGCCAAGGTTACATTTCAGCCCACATCTCAAAATTAGACGGTAACACTTGAGCTCCCCTTCTCTAATCACCATCACCACTCAAATATGTGACACATTTTTTGAGCCTCAGTGAAGCTGAACCAAGTGGGCATTTAATTTCTCCTGCTTACTTCAGAATCTAGGTAACAAGGTATTCCTCTGTACTGTAGACTAGTTATGGAGGAAGTCCAATGATGTTACATATTACCTCAGGGAGAGAAGTGAAAAGCAGCAGCAAAAGCAAAAAAAAAGGGGGGGGGCCATGGCTGAGTGGTTGAGTTCACGCGCTCTGCTTCGGCAGCCCAGGGTTCCACTGGCTCGGATCCTGGGCGTGGACATGGCACTGCTCATCAGGCCATGCTGAGGCGGCGTCCCACATGCCACAACTAGAAGGACCCACAACTAAAAATATACAACTATGTACTGGGGGGATTTGGGGAGAAAAAGCAAGAAAAAAAAGGCAGCAGAGTCAAAATTGTCTTTAAAATGTTCTTATACTGCTCACAAAGTTCTGAATAAACGGCTTTGTATCTGATAGAGTAATTCATACACTTAATGAAGTTTCAGAATCACTGAGTTAAGACCAAAGCAAAGACCAAAAAGAAAAGACTGTAAGCAAATGTCTGGCCATTCCAACCATTCTATATTTTACTTATCAAACAAATATTTGATGAGCACCTACTAGGCTCCCGGCCCCAGGGCTACAAAGGAGAAAATGAACTGCCACTACCCTCACAAAGCTGACCTAACATAAGGTCAGGAAGGGAACAAGGCAGGGTGGAGAACAGAGAATGCTGGCGGTAGTGGGGGTACAACTCTGACAACGTGGTCAAGGAAGGCTTTTCCAGGAGGCAGCGTTCGAGCATGGACCAGAATGAAAGGACACACACTGCCTTTAACTCCTATTTGAAACTTAGGAACTGACCACAATTCCTCTCATTTTCTGGGAGGAGGTGTTGTAAAGAAGCCCAGCCTCCATCTCCTGATCCGGGAGGGCAGCTTTTAGTAACAAACTGATGCCGCTATCCTCTCAGCGTAGGACATAGGGAACGGCCTTCTAAGGAAAAGGATATATTTCTACAGCAGTCTCCTCCTAAAATTTTAGGGCTTGAAATTCCCCTATAAGAGGAGAACTAGCCAAAACCAACCAGGCCATTATCGGATTGGATCCCTTTTCTTTCATTTGCTGTCATTTTCAGAACTCTTCCAATCAAAGGATCAAAAGGCTGACTCTGATCACCCGTGATCAGACTGCCGGAGAACCTGCCAGCCCCACACCAGAAGCTTGCACCTACAGACACAACGCCCCACCCTCCCCTCCACACCCCACCAAAGGTGGTTTTGCGACAGGAAACATGACACCTGAGGAAATTGGGCCAAAAGAGATACCTCAAGCTGACTCACTTTATAAACAAAAAGTTAATTCAGATGAGATTCTCTGATCTGTCTTTAGAACCAGAGTATTAAACGCAAACAAGATACCAAGACTTGTATTTGAGGTTTAACATCTCTCTGTCACTGTAAAAAGGAAGAGGAGGAGAGCACAGGCAGACACACGGAAAAGCTCTGTGACTGCAGTGCACACTGACGGTGCAGAGCCAGGAGTCATGGAAAATTCCACACAGACCCAGGACTTCCCCAATCCCAGCAGGCAACAGAAGCTGACTTTAAAACAGTTGTCCGTCTTTTGTTAAGGCTAAAATAACTGGCCAATGCTTAGAAATCTGAACTAAAAATATGTTAGAACCTAAACTAGTCTCTGCCTCCTTTCCTCATCAAAAATGTATAGTACCGAATAAAAACACCATCTCCCTGTGCATGATGCTGTCTAGCAGTGGTTCTCAATCCTGGCTGCACATGATCATCACCTAGGGAGCTTTTAGAAAATACTGATGCTGGGGCCGGCCCCATGGCCAAGTGGCTAAGTTCGCACGCTCCCCTTCGGCGGCCAGGGTTTCACTGGTTCGGATCCTGGGTGCCGACATGGTAGCGCTCATCAGGCCACACTGAGGCGGCGTCCCACACGCCACAACTAGAAGGACCCACAACTAAAAAGTACGCCACCATGTACCACGGGGATTTGGTGAGAAAAAGCAGAAGAAAAAAAACAAGATTGGCAACAGTTGTTAGCTCAGGTGCCAAACTTAAAAAAAAAAAATAATGATGCTATACTTCACATATAACCTTTCTTCTAATTCCCCCAGACACAGTTAAGGAAACTGAGGTAGAGAGAAGCTAAATGATTTGCCTATGGTCACAATACTAATTAGAGGGGAGTGGCTCCTGAACCAGAAATCAGGTCAGACTAATCTTCCCACGACAAAAGTGACCTTCTGAAACATGTTAACTGACAACATTTCAGAAGGCATCAACTTAGCTCAACCTAAACTGTCTGGGAGTTAAGAAAAGAAAGAATCCATCTGCTGCTGACCGATGAAGTGCATCGCAGCCTTTGGTACCCGAGGGAAAGAAGAGAGACCCAGAAGAACAACGTCCACTTTGCTTGCTCAGATTAGGACTCGGGAACTTTTTGAAATTTAATTTTACATACTATTTTTAACGTTTCAAATCAAGCAAAACATCTCGCTTAAAAAAAACCCAACAAACCACAGTTTAAGAAAATTCCTTGGGAAACAGCCCAGGCCAGTTCATTTGAAATTTCATGGAGGAATTTTCCCCCTCTAACCAGCTGAGCTCTGTGCCTGCCCTTCCGACTACCACTTGACTTAAAATTTCCCTTTAAAGCTAATAAACATGATGGAGAACTGGAAGGAGAAAAAAAATCCATTCTGAATTGATGGAAGTGGGTAGTGGGTGGAGGAAGAGGTCATATTCCAATGAATCTATTACTTCATGTGTCCAAGAAAAGAGAACTAAATGTACCCTTCATATTTGCCCAAACTGTTCCACGTCTCCATAACCTGAAGTCCAGACTGAAAACTAACCATCTGAGATCATTCAAACTACTGAGGCAGCTATGGTACAGTAATATCTTTCAAAGAATTACAGAACTGGAACGGACCAGAAGTCAAGTCTCAGTTCCTCATTTTAACAATGAAGAAACTAGGTCCGAGGGAGCTTAAGACCCCACAGTGAAGCAGGGATCGAGCTGGAAGGGGAATCCAGGACTCCCGAGGCCCACTCCACCCCGCTGCTCCCATAGGGTATTAAGGACAAGACAAATGAAGCAGCCTAGCAGTTCTCACTGATCCCACGATCATTTACGAGTGCTGTGCTCCATGTCAGGCTCTGAGGACAGGGGAGGAACCGGCAGGGACCAACTCCCAGGGGTCCATGAGCTTGTGGAGACAAACCAAGGATAGTAGTAGCGTGTGCTTCGATACAGACCAGTACAGGAGCTTTCACTCTACAAACACTCCCTGGCCACTTACCATGAGCTCAGCTCTCGGTTGTTAGAATTCACCAAGCAGAAATACGCCCTCCCCGCAGAGCAGCCTATGCCCCGCTCTCTCAAACCCTGCTTTGTTCTTTCTTTCCACATTCAGATATGAGAACAGGGAACAAAGGCACGGTTACTTCCCGGTGACGTGCAGATCAAGCGGATAACTGCCCCGCTTCCCTGCTGGAACGGAGAAGTCTGGCTAGGACTTCTCTTCTGATCCTCCATCCCTCCAGGGAGAGCCATAATAGGAGTGACCGCCATCAGTGGGCTCCTTGAGAGACAGCAGAGATGCAGGAGGGCACTTGCCCTATCTCCACCAAGACGGACCTCTGTCCGATCCCCTCATCCCCCTCCAATGACACAAATCCTTTCAAGGGCAGCAATGTCATTAGATGCTACTGGAAAACACAGGATTCAGAATTACACAGGGCTGGATTTTAATTTCAGCTACACCAAATATTAGTGGAGTGACTCCAGGCAGGTGCCCTTATATCATGAGCCTCGGTTTCCCCTTTTGTAAAATGAAGATGATAATCCCTGCCTCGAGCTGTTTAGAACTAAACAGAGAGTACATAAAAGTGCTCTGTGCAGTAGCTGAAAAAGAGATGTTCAATAAATACTAGTTATTTTCTCTCTTTGTGAGACAGCTAAAAATGTATTCAAGCCACGGCAAGACATACAACCTAGTTACTTTACAAAGGAGTTTCTCACATAGCACTGAGTAACTCGCGTCTCCACCTCGTCTCCTGCCCGCACCCCCTCGGTGGTAGGCAGAATTCTAAGATGTTCCCTCAAGGCTGCCATCCCCTGGCATACACACCCTGTCTAAAGCCGGGATGGTGAATGTGATGGGACAGCCACTCCTGGGATTAGATCATGTTATATGGTACCACTGGCTTTAAGAAAGGGGAATCATCCTGAGTGGACCTGACCTAATCAGGCGAGCTCTTAAAAGGGACGAGACTTGCCCTGATGAAAGGCATTTGGAGTGTGTGTATCACTTATGAAGTCACTGCCGATCAGCCCGGAACACACCCTTCAATATGTGCTCTGTAACGCACAACTGAATTCCTTTTTCTCCTTTATAGAGAGCACGATGTGAAGCTTTCTCAGTAGAGGGAGC